GGCATCACCATTTTCTAAGACGGGGAAGACTGAAGGTGAGCAAGTTTGAAAGCGGTTGCTAGATCCCCACATGGAGATGTCCCACAGGCAGGTGGATGTTTGGATCTGAGTTTCAGAGGTCCGGAATAGAAATGGACGTGAGTGCAGATACAGGGGCGAGGAGACACAAAGGCTTTGCTTTAGGGCACCCTAAAACTTTACTTTAAACTTGTCCCGTTTTCCCTATTAATCATTTTTCCTTAGATATTACTTCTATTTGATCATATCGGGTATTAATTTCTAGTATACTTGGAAAAATACTTCGAAAATCTAAAAACATTTTCTAAAATTTTATTTTTTTCCTACCTTGGACTCCTGCCCACACAGAGACACTGAATAAAGTGAATGTTAACATAGTGACAGACTTTACCATAGTCTCTGAGAAGGCTTTATTAAAGCCCAGTGAAAACCCATTTACTTTATAAATCAGGATCTTCCTAACTCTTAAATATAAATACTTACCTGAGAGTCACCACAGAGTTGGAAAAAAGCCTTTAACGTGAAAGAAAAGCACCAAAACAAAGAACTGAAAGAACTTGGCTTTTCAGTTGTGACACTAGTGTAAGCTGTTTAACGACAGGGGACCCGGTTGTGAGTTATGCAGAACTCTCTGTATGATCTTCACAACTTGTCTATAAATCTAAAACTATCATAAAATTAAAAGCTTACAAAAATAATTTGGGGAAACAGGGTTACTGTGAAATGAAGAAGGAAAAATACAATGAATATTTTTAGAAAAATAAGAATATGTTGCATTCATGAGGCAAGAGCCTTATGCCGTACGAAGGAACATCCCCAGTTAACAAGGAAGACCTCTTTGGAATTAAAAATATGGAAGCAGAGCTGAAAGAAGGTACTAAAAATCTTGAAAGATAAAGCAACGTCCTGGGAAGTAGAACAAAAAAGCAAAGAGAGAGAAAACAGGGACAAAAGACACATGGATGAGAGAAGCAGCTTAGGAACTGCACGATGCAAATACTTGAATTCCAGAAAGACAGCACGCGGGAAAAGGTGGTGAGGGAGCAAACTAAGACATAACAGAAGAAAACTCCCCAAAGGACGTGAGCTTCCTGATTGAAAGATTCCCTCCAGCTTCCAACATACTGATTATAAAAAGGCCCGCAACTCGTTGTACTATTGCAAAGCTAAAGGAAAGTGAAAAACCAGAAAGCTCCTAAATCTCCTACAAGGAGGGACAGAAGGACAGGTCACATAAAAAGGATCCATGGAAAGACGGCATCAGGCTTCTCATTAGCAGCAGAGCGATACCTCCCAGCTTCTCAAGGGAATGACTTCCAGCAAAGGAGTCTATCATGAATTGTCAACCAACAACACAAGCAGAACGAAGACGCATGGTGGACCAGAATACTGACACCAGGATTTTTACCAAAATGAAGCAGAAAAGTGGAGCAAAAAGTGGAAATTTGGGCAGAAAGTTAATTTATATAAAAGATAAACATATACACATAAAGAAAAAGGAGTTCTTCATTGTGGCAAAACACACACACACAACAAAATTTACCACTGTAACCACTTTTAAGTGTGTAACTCAGTAGCATCAAGCATCCTTTTATGTGCTTGGGGACAAGAAATGTCTGTTCAAGTCCTTCGCCCATTTTTAACTGGGTTGCTTGTTTTTGCTGTTGTTCAGTTGTAGGAGATCTTTATATAGTTTGGATGTTAATCTCTCATCAGTTATGTAGCTTGCAAATATTTTCTCCCAAAAATAATTTTTTTCCCCAAAAGATAACATAAATAATGAGGCAGAAGTAGTCAAAGCAGTTGTTCAAAAACTGAAGAAAGACATCATTCTTCAGCTTGGAAGAACGTACCTAGTACCCAGAAGACTAAATTTTAAAATGTTTAACATTACTATGTATAATGCTTGTGTGTGTGTGTGTGTGTGTGTGTGTGTGTGTGTGTGTGTGTGTGTGTTGTGTTAGTCTATTGATAGTGAAGCTCTTGATTAAGGATGCCTGAGACACTTGCCCAGGGCCTGTATAGTAGCCAGCCCCCACAGATTCCCTGACCTGAGCCAATGGTGTGACTGGTCCAGCCCTTGTGATTCTTACTAAGATTGCAGGATGCACTTCAGCAAAAACCATCCGGGAACTTTGAGGAGCAAGATTTATTACTCATAGGTCTTGGAGGGCACACAGTGTGCTCCAGGGTGACACTGTGAAGTCATGGGAGGGAGAGGGACAGAGAAATAGAAGGAGAACCTGGAACTCAGCCTTTGCTAGGGTCCAAGGGTAGGGTGTCTAGGATTCTGTAGGTTCACTCTGTCAGGAGGAAGAGATTTTCCTCTACCTCTTTAGATTCTTCTGATGAGTCTCAGAATCAAATTGGCATGAAATAGATTAACAGGAGAAAATTGTACAGAAGTTTAATAACCTGTCTGTGTGGGAGAGACCCAGGGTAACTGAGTAACTCACCCAAATGGCTGAAACCATCCCCTTAAAGACCATCTTCAGCTAGAGACAAAACAGGACTTGGAGGGTAGTGGTTTGGGACTGCAAAGGGGAGAATGAAAAGCAAATGTTTGGCAAACAAATGTTTGCTGGACCAGGCAGAGGCAGAGGGACACAGAGAGGAACTTTGACAAACAGACCTTGCTAGGTTCCTCCCTGTCTGCACACCCAGTTCTTACTTCGTTATCTATGGTGATAGAAAACTTACTGCGACATTCTTCAGGTAGTTAGGAGGATGGTCAAAGTTTCTTCCCAAGTCTTTTGGCTTCAATTGTTTTCAGCTCACAGTAATCTGCAAGCCAAAGAGACATTGTGGGGTGATAAATTTTGCTCCTCTGCAGTGAGGCCTTCGGAACTTCTCTTAAGTAGTCTTCACAGTCCAGAAGTTTAGTTGATAGATTGCTTTCTACCTTGTTGAACCAGCCTCTTAGTCCTGACAGTGGGTCGGTTCAGTTACTTACCTCAGGAAGCGGTGAGGCAGGTGAGCTCTCAAAGTTAGGTATAGGGTGTGAGCAATCAGGTGTTTAATAAGAGGCATTTCTATGGCGACAAAAGAAAAACAATGGTTAATAACTGGAGCAAATTATAAACCCAGTGTCTGGGTCCTGAGTGCTGCCACTCAAGGAGATGTCAGGGTTGTCGACTGAAAAAAAAAGAAGCACAGCCTAAAAGTTGAGAATTACATTTTATTCTGCAGGCTTTCTGAGGACTCAAGCCCAGGAGGCAGATAGCTCTAAGGGGCTGCTCCAAAGAGGAGCCAGGGTATATAGGAGGTTATGCAACAAAAACCATTTAATCAGAACATTAAAAGATTACTACTAATTACAGAAAACCAGACATCTCAAATCGATGAATTTACTGATCTTCTACGTATGGCAAGGTGCAAAAGTCTGGGCTCACTGAACGACAAACTTATTGCAGCATGGGAGGAAAACGCAAGTGCGGTGAAGATGGCCTTTCTAAGCAAGGCACAGGCCCACAGGCAATAAAGGAACTGACTGACACATTCCATAAAATTTAAAATGTAGGTATGAAAAAAGACACCATAAACAGCTAGACAGAAACTGGGCAAAAATAATTGTCAGACGTGAAATAGGAAAATATAAGATATTCAAGATGTATGAAGAGCTCTTATAAATCCACTGGAAAGTGAAAAATAACTAATAGAAAAATGGGCGAGGAGTGTGGGTTGATGATTCACAAAAGGACTACAAATACTAAGAAACATGTAAGAATAAACATGAATAGTCAGCAGTGTGGAAAATTAAACTCAGCGAGGCATCATTTTATCTCCGTTAAATTGGCCAAAAATGTTAAAAGACTAATAACATCCATCACGGCTACAGTGTGGATAGTCAGCTGAAAAAAGTGCACACCCCAGAAGTTGAGAGTGATGTTCTACTAGGCACACATTTCTAAGGACTTAAGCCCAGGACGACAGCCTCTCAGATGGCTCTGAGGGACCTCTCTTAAGAGGTAAGGGAGGGGCCAGGGTATACAGGCACTTTTGCAAAAAAAGACCAGATAGTCAGAACATCAAAAGATTATTGTTAACTAAAGAAAACCATGTATCTCAAGCTAAGGAATTTAGCACTTTTTTACAAAGGGAAGATGCAAAAGTCTGCGTTCACTGAAAACATTCCTTTGATATGCACTGAGGTATGTAGGGCCATATCCCTTTCCTTCCCATCCTGAGTTCCCTCAAGGGGCACCTTTGGGGGTGGCTGCAGAGGCCCGGCTGCCTGCATGTTTTCATCCTGAGGTCCCCCTGGCTGACCCTGGGGTGCAGCAGCAGTGGACGATGACTTGATGGCCACAGCAGCCTTTGTTTACTGATAAGGCAGGCAATATTTTTAATTCATAATACACTTTCTAACGTTTTAAACTGGGTTGAGCCATTCTGGACAGCAGTATGGCGGTATTTATCAACATTAACAACATGCATATTCTTTGAGTAATATTGTCAGAAACTACCCCAGCATACACAGAAAGGCATATGCACACTGATGTTCCCCACGGCATTGTTTGTAATAGGTGAAAAAGTGGGCGAAACCTAAATGTTCACCAATGTTAAATAAAACGGAATGAGAAACACACACAACAAATTATCACAAGAAACAGGCTTCTTCACTGATTAAAAACACGAGATTTATA